CATAAAGTCAAGTATAACTGTTGCATACCTTTAACTGTTGGATCCTCTAGATTCTCCACACCTGCCATCATGTCTTCACCAGCCGTCTTCATTCCTTCCACTGAATCTACTAGTCCTTCAACATCATTGCGAAGATTCTGTTTTTAAAAAAACATGAACACAAAATCAGTATTATTGACAACTCCAGAACTAAATAGGTGTTATATCAGTTTGTAACCTCATCCAAGCACAGGGGCTGCAGGAATATGATGTCATCTTATTATAAGTAGCCAATCATTAAGGCTGTTACAATTCCACTACTTGCAGGGGTTGCATGGAATAAGATGTCATCTTATAAGTAGCCAATCATTAAGGCTGTTACAATTCCACTACTTGCAGGGGTTGCAGGAATATGATGTCATCTTATAAGTAGCCAATCATTAAGGCTGTTACAATTCCACTACCTGAGATCAAACAATCAAACAAGAGTTTATTATCACTCCTTACCTGTAGTTTCTTGATTTGTTTCTTGAGTACTTCAGGATCAGCTGCAACAGGGTCAGCATTAATCAGATGGTTGGCAATCTTACCAAGTTGTTCTAGCATGTTGTCCAGATCCTCATGGTACTGAGTAACAACAAAACGACAACATCAATTAGAGGCCGAGTATGATCTTGGGGGAAAAGTTACTATGAAAATTAAAGAAAAAAGAACCCAAAACTCAAACAAAACTTACTGATGTGGTTCTTTGTAAGGCATCGGTAAGTCTTTCTGCTCGTTTCTGAACTTTCTCCTTGATCTTTTCGTATCTTGCATTGTCATCATCCGTGCGTTCTTTGACAGAATCTGCTCCCTCGCCAGGACTCAATTCCATCAGCTTGGGGGCAGTCTTGTTCAGTTTCTGGATGAATTGCTTCTTCTCAGCAATCTCTTGTTTTAGCAACTGGAATGAAAAAAAACAATTATTGTTTTTAAGTGTACCTTTTTTTATTTCAAATGCCGGTAAGGAAAATATATATAAATACTGTTGATATTGAATGGACTAAATAAACAATGGACACATATGCAAGTGTAAGTTTGCAGAATCATCTCAAGTAACGTACCCTATTCTTATCAACTTCCTTTCTGATCTCCTCTGCTTCTAAACCTGGTGGCACTAAATTCTTGAGTTCTTTCTCCATCATATCCAACCAATCCGTCAATTCCTCATGAGTTTCTTTGAACTGCAGTGCTAGTGGCACTGCATCCTCAATCTGGTCCAATTTGTCCCCGCTGATCAATTTCAGCTCATCGTATTTGGATTTCATCATATCTACTTTATCTTTCAGTTTAGTTTTGCTTTCTTCATCTGATGTCTCCTCCATCAGCCTCTCAGCAGCAGACAGGTAGTCTTTCATCTTATCTCCCTTGGAATGGACATCTCGGTCAGCAGACTGTGAACAGATCATCAATACTTAAATTGTAACATGATTGTAAATTTTTTTTTTGTCACTATAAATTTTCATGATTTGATGACTTAATGACATTCGTTAGTAAAGTAAAGTTTTTAGGTTCAAGGTGAATTGATGATATGACATTTTCACCATACTTTCATTTTTAAGGGTTCCGTCAGAATGCACACACAAAAATTGTGATCATCGGACAAATTTTTGAGATGAAAAATGGTCAAAAATGGTATTTTTATATTAGTTTTCATGGAAAGATTTTTCCTTCATACTTCAAAATTTTGTTTGACACCATTAGATGAAAAATCATATAATTTTATAAACATCATTTCTAATCTTGTGGAAACTTTTCAAAAAATTGACAAATTAATGAGTTTGTTTGTCCTAATATACAATAGGAGTTGTCTCCCACAATGCATTGCATATATGTGCAGTGACATGCTCAGTTGTGCTAAATTTGAATTTGGCTAAAACTGTTTTAGAGACCCCAGGAAAACATACAATGATAACATTTCTAGATTCTCCTCTTTCTCACCTTCATCGTTTTGAGTTGTTTTTTGGTGCCGTCTGGCTCAACATCGATTGGTTCCTTGCAAAGAATTTTCAACATTCGTTCTAAGTCCTCCAACCACACTACCATTTCATCAAGGCTAGCAGTGATCTGATAAAAAAAAGCTCAAATTAAGCCAGGTTTCACATAATCAGGTACTTATGACTGATGACATAATGCATGTACAGCAAGGTGACTATATTCATAGTGAAATTCATTTGCCATGCGGCAAACTCACCCAATGTCATATATCAAACTATCTTACCTTCTGAGCACCTTCCAATGTGGCCATCAGTTTGTACTCAATCTCCTTTAATTTCTGGTTGATGCCATTGTATCGTTTGTTATCCAATGTTATCTTTTCTTTCAAACTCTCAGATTCCTTGGCATCTACCAAGTCCATAAGCTTGGGTCCGACCTCATTGATGGTGTCTATATATTGCTTGTGCTCACCTGCAAGTGCTTGTAGTTTCTGATGATGAAAGTATCAATAAAAATTATTATGTTCAAATTCTAAACAATGAATGTAATTCTGGTGTTCAGTATAATTAAGACATGATAAGATCTTTATTGAAACCACAGAGAAAGTGTGACATTTCTAATTTCTCTATAATTAGAATGACATAAACCTGGCGGGACAAATTTTTGAAATGAAATTGAAATGTGATTTCATTCATTTTAGGGCAACACACAGACCCTCCCCACCAACTTCAGCACCTTGTACACCTCCAAATTTCCACAGAGACGAGATTTCACTGTTTTTCAACAAAAATAATGTCATACCTCATGTTTGATCTTCTGTTCTTCTGCTGGAATGGTGGTATCAAATTTATTTACGTCGTCCTCCACCTTGTCCAGCCACTCCACCAAAATACGATGGGCTTCGTGAAATCTACTTGAGTAGGTCTTTGCTTGCTGTAACTCTTGCATACGGTCATCACTCTTGACGCAAATGTCTGTGTATTGGTCCTTTATTGAGTCAAGTTTCTGTTCCACTGCGAGCACCTCAGAACCTAATTTTAAAAATAAATGCTATGAATATGGTTCTTCCCAGAGCATCAGTGTTGAGCGTGCCCTCTACTCTATTATTTTGCAAAAGGATATAGCACATGCCATGCATTTTATTTTGCATAACAGTAAAGACCACCACATACTGAAGAATGGAGGAATTGTTTGTTTTTCATTTCAGCAGATGTTTTATGGATCCAAATCAATCTTTAAAGCATGTATTCAACAGTTTATTTGGTAAATGTTAAATTTTTTTTTAAATTTCTAAGGACAAAATAAACCATTTTGCAATTGGTATGTAAATTAGTCACAAGGCTAGGATACTTGTATATTCTAAGGAATAAATCTCAAATGCAATATTCTCGAAGTACATGTATAATCTGGTAAGTTTCAGAGAAGAAGTTGTTCATAATTATTATTAATATATAAAACTATGAAAATAAATGATACATAACAATGTATCCTTTTTATTTAAATTTTTGAAAGGTTATGAATATTTACCAGTGCAGTGCTTGATGAGTTCGTGACCAGCTTCTATCGCTGCATCTACATCCGACTTGTGATTAACAACATCATCATTCAGGTTCTAGAAGGTTAACACAGTATAAGAAATAATCAAGAAAAGTTCACCCTGAGAAACTGTACGCAAAGAACATTTACGTGATGTTTACAAACATGATCAAATAATTGATTGCATCTTTCATGCACCTATCTATATTACAAGATACACAACTTCTGATTGGTCAGTATATTTATGAATGATCAACTGTAACCAATAAATACTAAGCTTACATAGGATTTGAAGAGATTCCCTACCATCATGCCAGGCAACCCCAATCACCTCCATTATTTACAATCACAAGAATATTCAATAGGACACAAAAGACTGACGCAAACAACTTGCTTGGACAGTATGTATTACGTATGTGTTAACGATTTGACAATATACACAACATATGATGTATGACCGGTGTAGAACAGTGCTTGATAATGACAGTACTTGTGTGACGAGAGAACCGATTTTCTCAGAAGACGCTGATTGCTTGCATCGCTTCTTAGATGATGACTACTTCGGATCTCACTCTATGATTTTCTCGGTTTATTAGTGGTTATGTGCATGCATATGAACATTGGCGAAATATGCCGTGCGTCATGGTGCAATGCGAAAAACTAATGACCTATGATGTCACAATAATGACCCCATGTGATATTTTACAATGTTAAGTGCATACATGTTATTTTCAATATTTAAGTACCGAAAATAGTTGTCCTAGCAACAAATATTAATCTCACCAATGTTTGAATTTAGTATTATTCCTGTGAAACAATTAAGTGATATACAAAGAAAACAACAATGTGCATGCAAACAAACAAATAAATACAATATACGTGCATAAGTAAACAAAAACGCTACAACTAAAGTTAAAAGTGAAGAAGCCATTAAACATACAACTAATAAACTAAAGATTTAATATATTATTACACATGCAAGAACCCAGAATAAGTAGTGAATAAAATTTAAAGATGCAATTCTTTTCTTACTTTGTTGAAAAATTAAATATTTGTTTCACAAAAAAAATCAAATTGCATCTCCAATTTTTTTTTAGATTCGATTGATACAGTGAATATATAGTAGATTTTGAGCTAAATGTGATTTATTTAATGGTTAAAAGAGGATTTAATTGAGATCTTTTTTAAAGAGCTTTTTTAAAGAAGACAGTTGAGAGAGACCCAGAGAAGTCACCGCTCATGCGACTGATGAACTGTACCGTGTGGTCTCCTAGTTGTTGTTCGATGGTCTCGTATATGGAAGATATCGGTTCCATGGCATCCAACCGCTGATTTGTTTCCACCAACCATTGTATGAGATCTTGTTCATTCGCTCCAAATCTTTCAACATTTTTCAGCGCTTGCGCAAGCATTTTTTCTCGTCTAGCACACCGCTCAGCAATTTCATCATATCTGATTTGTGTGCGATCCATCTTGACTTGCAAGATCTCTCTGTCCTCGTCACAAACCAAATCTCGCAGTGATTGGCCAATTGAAATAGACTGATCCAAAGGTTCTTTCTGATTGGCTACCTCATCAGCCAATGCCTGACATTGATACAGGGTGAATGCGGAATAATAAATAGAAAATAAATTGAAGGAATTTCACATGAAATAATTGTTGCATGTATCACTAGATCCTAAAATTGTGAGGTAGGAAAACCAAGATATATATAATGAGAAAAATAATAAATATCATGTTGCAATATCCATAGGGTTAATGAATATTCATTCTGTTGAAAGATTTTTTCACTTTTTTGTAAATATAAATTAACATAAAATGAATAATATAAAATTCAATTATAAATTTAAAATCTTTTAAAACTTGTTTTAATAAAAACGTTTTCATTGACCTTTCAATGATTTTTAATGTCAAACTACACACCTTGTGATCTTGTATCTGTTCTTCAATCTTTTCTGGTGTTGAACCGACAGGGTCGTGCGATGATAAAGTCTTCTCTGTCTTTTCTATCCATTCTGTTAATGGATCCATCTTATCCTGGAATGCTTTGGCAACATCCATAAGTTCTTCCAGATTCTTGCGTCGTTTATCAGCGAGATCATTCAGAGCATCCCACCTAGTTTGCAGATCATCCAACTGTTCACGAATTGTTTCTTTTTCGTCAGTATCCATGCTAGCCATTACCTTCTCCCCCATGTCCTTCACAGAATCAACGCTGTTCTTCTTTGCGGCAATCAGTTTGTCAAGAAGCTGGTGGAAATAAAAAATTGCGATAAATTTATTTTGTTGTTGTACAAACATGATTTTAAACTTTTATGGATGAATCACTATCGATAAGAGTTTTCATTTGCAAAATAATTTATTTTGTGAAGGAACTCACTTTTTGACCATCCAACTGAGCTTTGACTACTTTGTAGTCAGCTGAGGGGTCTTTCTGACTCGCTAAATGCTCCTCTGTGTCTTCCAACCAATCGAGTAGAGACTGCAGAGCTTCAGAGAATTTACCGCATTGCAATAATGAATCACTTAACTTGTTGTCTCTTTCAGACACCTGATAAAAGAAACAGATAAACAGATTAAAAATATCGCAAGAATCATCAGATAAACTAGTTTTCAAATTTACACTTCAATCAGCTCCAGATAAGGTATGAAATTAAAATATTGTGTTTGTCACCATAGAGGGCGTTTTCTACTACAGCTAAATATGTTCAAACTAAGCAAACTAAGGAGCCTGAGAAAGGATCAGAAATTTTTAGCTTATAGAAGTATTTTTGAAGCAAGGAGCTGTATGGCTAAAAACCAGCTATCTTGTTCACAGTGTTCGGCTTAGAGAAGTTTCTTTTTCACAGTGTTCGGCTTAGAGAGGTTTCTTGTTCACAGTGTTCGGCTTAGAGAGGTTTCTGGATCAATGCTTGGTTTAGACAGGCTGCACTGTTAAAGAGGAAGCTGCCAATCTGAAGAATTGTTCCAAGGAATTATGGGAAACTATTCACTTTTGTTATTGATTGTAATTTCAATCCAGTAAGTATATTTGCTATGCAAGGAGGCTTAACTGGAAGTATCCTTTGTAATGGATTGAAAATAAATTGAATCGATAATGCCCCACCCCTTCCATCCCCTATAATAACTAATTATATAATACCTCCACACTGAGTTTATTCCAGCGTTCATTCATTTCTTCAATGTCTTTCTCAATCTTTGATGTATCAACACCTGTAGAGGCGCTCTGTACTAGACCCTGACCAGCTTTGTTGGTGTCGCCGACATTGCCAGACAAACGGTCGATGTGTTCCTTGTGGAATTTCTATAATAAATAGAGAGTAAATAAAGAATTTCGAAACTGAGACACAGTAACAATTCAAGAATTAGTTTGTATGATGCACATGTGATATTTTAGTATTATTTATTATTTGGTTGACTGATTTCAAAATTCTTTTGAATATCCAATCAGATCACTGGAAAGTGTATGATGATGTCATCAAAAATTCACTGGACTCACCTTGAAGTCAGCTTGTTGTAATTTGATGGTGTCGACATCGGCACCAACAGGTCTGTATGATCGCATGGAGTCTTCTGCTGCATCCAATGCATCGCATACCTCATCCAGCTTCTGGTAGAAATCTCGCACTCTCTCCAACGTCATGTCAAGTTCATCGCTACGACTATTAGTGCGATCGTTCAGTCGGTTCCATCTCCTCTTTAGAGTAGCAATCTGATTTAGGCAAATAAAAAAAAACAATTTGGTTAGTTGAATGAACCTGGAGTGGTAAGGCTGAGAAGGCAAGAGGGTTTAGGTATACCATGAGTGCTAAAGCTAAGAACGTGTATGGGCCGAGGCAAATATGGGTTTTGTTGAGCTATTCACAAGTGGTAAGCTGAAAATGCAAGAAGGCTTTGGTATACCATGAGTGCTAAAGCTAAGAACATGTATGTGCCGAGGCAAATATGGGTTTTGTTGAGCTTTTCACAAGTGGTAAGCTGAAAATGCAAGAAGGCTTTGGTATACCATGAGTGCTAAAGCTAAGAACGTGTATGGGCCGAGGCAAATATGGGTTTTGTTGAGCTATTCACAAGTGGTAAGCTGAAAATGCGAGAAGGCTTTGGTATACCATGAGTGCTGAAGCTAACAGTGTGTATGGGCCGAGGCAAATATGGGTTTTGTTGAGCTATTCACAAGTGGTAAGCTGAAAATGCAAGAAGGCTTTGGTATACCATGAGTGCTAAAGCTAAGAACATGTATGGGCCGAGGCAAATATGGGTTTTGTTGAGCTATTCACAAGTGGTAAGCTGAAAATGCAAGAAGGCTTTGGTATACCATGAGTGCTAAAGCTAAGAACGTGTATGGGCCGAGGCAAATATGGGTTTTGTTGAGCTATTCACAAGTGGTAAGCTGAAAATGCGAGAAGGCTTTGGTATACCATGAGTGCTGAAGCTAACAGTGTGTATGGGCCTAGGCAAATATGGGTTTGTTGGACTATACACAAGTGGTAAGCTGAAAATACAAAAGGATCTAGGGCAAATGAAGGTTTTGCTGAGCATATAATAACAAGTAAAGCAGAGAATGTAAAAAAAATACAATAAATAAAATTAAATAAAAAATAAATGAAATCTACTACCTATATATGTAACTAACTTTAATGATAAAAAAATAATCATGCTTACAATTTAATAAATAAAAAAATATACTACATGATGATATGAACACATGCAAAATTCGTTCAATTATGTGAGGCCACAATATTTTATAACACGTGTAATAAATAAAGTGTCACTCCCTCCCTCCCCCTCCATCAATTTTAATTCAATATACTACTAAGACCCATTTAGAAATACATTTTTTTTCGCTCCAGACAAACTTATCACTGGGAAGTGTTAGTAATCAATAGTCATCAGACAAAAATATAACCATGCAGATGAACAAACATTTCTCTACATAACATTTTACCTGTTTTCTCATATCTGCAATCTTCTGTTTATTTTTTTTAAAGGAGTAAGAAAAATAATATAAGCGATATAAGCAACATTTACGCAAAAAAAAAGTGAATACAAAAAAAAAAGCACTTCATCCCTTGCACCTCCAGACATTTAGGGTTTCCCACCCCACACCATAAATGGTTTGGTCCAACCATGGATTTATTAGGTTTTTGCAGGGGTGCAAGAGTTCTAACCAACTATTACAGGTCACAACATAGAACACTTAAAGCTTTATTTAAAAAAAAAAATCAGCAATTGTATGGCTGGGGAATAACATCAAGATTTGGAAACTACTTACGTGTATATTTGTATATTTATCAATCTAATTTGTTGATGATGAAGTCAAAGAAATAAACAGATGTTAAAAGGAGAAAAAAATTAGAATTCTAATTTAAAACAAGTGATATTTCTCAGTTCAACAAAATGAGAAAGGAAAGTGGATGTATAACCATCGAGGCAGTGAGATCAAGAGAAGTACTCTCACTATGGTAACATAGATGTAACTACATATTTACAGTATACATGACGTATCTATCCTAAGAACAATAATCCTGAAAATATAAAATGAGATTGAATAAAAATATTCATGGTGATAGATCTTACCTGCTCTTTGAGTTTCTCGGGTTCCGCAGTGAATCCTTTAGTGATGAGATCTTGTAAAGTGATTTCTTCTTTATCGATGTCCTTTTTTCGTTTTCTTAGCGAGTCTTGAAGTTCCTGAATTATACAATTTGATTGTGTTATTTGACATTACAGTCACTAAGCAGTAGGAATAGTGACGGTATCACAATGCTAAAACTCACTATCACAAGGGATCCCTACACTGCCAGCAATGTAAAAATGGCATCTATAATAGCATTCACCATGTGACATTGCAAAATAACAACAATGATGTAAAATCACTATCAAAGATGTACATTCCATCGAATTCATCAATATGACATACTCATCAATAACCATTATGCCCACCAATACACATTATTCTAACATTGTCATTTCAATAATCCTATAATACTGCTCCCAATATTTGACACTAACACCATCCGGCTACTGCCACCAATGATGAGAAGAAAACAACGCCTTACCTTAACTTCATCAATTTGTTTTCTGAGGGTATCTTCATCTCTGGCCACATGTTTGCACTGGTCGTACCTTTCCTCCAAATCACTCATATCGGACTGAAGATCTCGCAACTTATTCTGGAAAAGATCAACCTCCTCAGAAGCAGTCTCCAGATCTTTCAGTCTCTCAGCCACGGCAGTTTTCAAAAGATCAAGACGACCAGCAATGAAATCAACTTCTTCTTGAATGGGTGTTGTATCAACTTCTTCTGGTGCTTTATCAATAACATTATCCCCAAGTTCTTTAACTTTGTCCACTTTGGGTTTGATTTTATTTACTTCAGCTAGCAAGTCCTACAAATCAATTGCAAATGTTTTTTTGTGTATTAAAATAACATGATATCATAACCTGTAAGTTCCCGCTGCCAGAAATGTATACATTTTGTATGTCGTTCAGGGATTTTAACAGCACCCTCATGCCATGACCGTGCGCCCCCTTACCCTGGGGAGCAGATCCTTAGGCAACCATAAAATTCTGATTGACCAGGGATCACATGTGCCCACAGTCTTCAACTGTGACCTGTCAGATAGTAATTTTGACCCCAAGGAAGCTATAGAATGCTTCATTTTAACTTATCATTTTATTATCAAAAACTCCACACCTTGGTAGGGAGTACCTCATCTCTCCCACTGGGCGCCGCTGAATTGCAGTGCTCCCTCTTGCAGTTTTTTCGAGAAAAAACCCTGCTGTTTATGAGCACAACGTAACAAAATCTGCATACAACATACAACATACAATGCCACAACATACAATGCCACAACATACAACGCCACAACATACAACATACAACGCCACAACAGACTCCACTTTCCAGCTACTGACTAATTCACAGAACAACTTACTTTAATTTTATCCAGGTGTTTACTATCTTTCTTTTCATCTCCAAGTTTATCATGATCTGCCAAAATGCCCTCACATTTACCGAGAGCATCACTGGCATTTTTCACTGCATCATTGAACTCCTGCAATGCCTTCAAGTGACTGTCTATCTCATCTTTCCTCTCAGCTGCTCCTGTGATACAATAGAAAAAGAGTCACAAATCAGGAGGAGTTATACTACGAAGATTTCAATGAAATTCGGTGATATGAACTCAAGTAAATATTTCTGAGTGAGTCTCATTATGTGTCTATCAAACAGTTCCTAATGATCATTTAGTTCTCCAGTACAAATCACCCTAGATGGAACCCTTTAATTATTATATACCCTTGATATGATTCATTATGTATCATTAAGCGTACGTGTTATTCCAGTTCTTATGCACACATCACTAATCAACCCAATACTCCTCAATAAATACATTGTACTAAATTAAATATATTCCCACAATAAGGAGACACCAATGGTTACAAACAAGTAGAGATCAGACTTACCTTTGTTGAGTGTGTCAAATCGGTCATTAATCTCCTTGACAGCGTCTTTGATCTCGTCTCCTCCCGTTTCTGATGCATCCACCAGTTTGTCAGCAACCTGGTTGAGTTTATCAAGAATGGCTTTGTGTGCGGCCACATCATCATTCAGAGCCTGTGTACAGATCATAGTCATAACAAGATTCATTGCAAGAAGTGATGTCTGAGTACATAAACTATAACTCAAAAGAAACTTAATACACAAGAGTAAAAAAGTTCTATGTATAATTGCGCATATCTGTCTTGTGATAATGTTGTTTTCTGTGTAATTCTTGAGTCTCTATCCTTAAATAAGAGTATTATTTCAATACTTATTTACTTTTCCCAGCGTAGTATCACACTTTATAACCTCCCTTAATAATAGAAGAGTGCACTAGTAGGGGCACTTTGAACAGACTGATGGTAAGCTCAAGACTACTTGGTAATATATCACTTTCAGTAGATACAACAAGATGAAGCTCAGTCCAACACACGATCTTTCAATGACAAGTAAAATCGCCATCGATGTGTCAATGCAATGTTTTTTAAAGTTACACTTTGTTCTTTATTTGAGGTAAAAAAAACCATTAATTTGAACAATGGTTGACTATGCATTTAATTTTAATGCTGGAAACCAATTTTACATCATAGTAGTGCTTCATTATTCACTGTTTTAAAATGTTACAATAATGTACCAGAAATTTTAGCATGCATTTTATTTTTTAAACAAAGCAATATTATTTTTTCAGAGGACTCATATCAATGAATTCAATTCAAAACACACCTTGGCATCGTCTTTCTGTTTCTTTGCCTCATCCAACTCCAAACTGACTGGTGCCTGTGTTGACAATTTTTCCTCTGCTTCCTGTAACCATGGCAACATCTTCTTCATCTCATTGTTGTATTTATCAGCGCAACTGTCCACATCTTTCAGTTTATCTTGTCTGTCCTTTGACTTGGTGTTCACATCGTCCCATTTTGATTTCAGATCATCCACTTTGTCTTTCAAACTGTCATATTCTGGACCTGGTTGTGCCTCTAGAAGCATTTTCTGGGCTTTAGTAGCGACTTGTTCATAAGATGGTTCTTGTTGCTTGATGTCTTTCACAACCGGCTAAAAAATAAGACATTTTCATGTGATTATTCAAATAAATCAGATTATTGTTTTTGCCCAACAGTAGCGCATACACTTACAATGCAGACGCGGCTTCATCTAACTTTCAGTATTGTCATCAATAATTTCAACATATTTTTTCTCTTGTTCAAAACTTGTTTCACTTGTACCAAAAATACCTTCCAGCTTGTAACAAATACAATTTTTGATAAACCTGTTTGAGAAATTTACATACTGGTATTGTACAATCACTTCTGAGAATTTTGTGTATTTTTGATAACATTTTCAACCCCACATGAGTCACAACAACATGTGAAATTTCTTTTTAGAAATTATCAAATTATGAAAATTTATGGCAGCGAAAATCATACCGTTAACAGTACATCTGATTTTAAGATTGTTTGATTGCAGGGGAAGACATACCTCGTGTTGTTTGACTTGCTCCTTGACTTTATCTGGGAGGGCATGTACTGGTTCAGCACTGACCAGTTCGTTTCCTTTCCCATCCAACCATTTTAATATGTCAGCAAATGAATCTTCAAAGTCCTTGGATTGTAGTAGAGCAGCTTGTAGTTTACCGAGACGCTCATCTTGAATCATAGAAGTAAACAAATAATTAGTGCATGACCAATAAAATGTTTAGTACTGATCATTCAACCAATCAACAGAAAGATTTCAGAATGAGTCTTGGTTGGATTGACCAATCAAAATGATTGTTAGAGATGATTCCACCAATGAACAAAGAGATTTCTGAATGTATCTAGATTAACCAATCAAAAGATTTGTTACTGATGATTCAGCCAATGATATATCTTTTCCCTACCCAAATTAGACACAATTTATTTCAAGAATTGTATTCCATGAAATGTGAATGTTTTGCATGAATGGAAGTTGTCATGGGATTGTATTATGAAATCATGGGGCACTTTGTTTTGTTGCTCGTCTTAGTTTAATCGTGATATTAAAGAGATTAGGCCTTTATAATAAAGCATGATTAAAAGAAGAACATACCAAGTTTCTGGCACAATTCATCATACGGTTTGACAACAGCATCAAGTTTCCTCTTCAAGTCGGCTTTAGCAGTTGGTTCATCTACAAGATCCATCAGAATGTTGTATTTCTCATGCATCAGAACAATGGATGGTTTCTTACTATCAACTTCCTCTTGCAGGTCCTGCAGTGAAGAAATATAACCAATCACATACCATCTTACATATTCCATGCATATACATGTATTCCTTTTTCTGATTGACTGCACAGTAAGGTAACACTAAAATGATTGGTTAACTCACCTTTGTTTCTTGGATTTGTCTGTCAACAATCGCAGGATTGGTACTGACCGGGGAAAGATTCTTGAATCTACCATTGATATCTGACAACCAGTCGAGCATCTCTCGTAAGGCATCATGGAATTTCTCGCTCTCAATTAACGTTTCTTCGATTTTCTTGCATCTCTCCTGCATGCTTGTTTTCAGGTCATTCCATTTGTTGTTTAGTTCGTCCAGCTGTGCTTTGACGGGTGAGGATTCAAGTTCCTCCGGCGATAGCTTATCAAGAATTGGTTGACCAGCTTTATTAACATCTTCAAGTTGATAGTCATTGGAGTCAAACTCATCAAGCAGAACCTTGGAGAGAAAAGGAATATGAACATCATTTATTTTTAAACATCTTTGTTTATCTATGATTTTTCTGAAAAAATTTGCCTTAGTTGTTTCAGTAAGTTCCTTTTTGGAGAAGGAAAGAGTCCGCACATAAAGACATATACTGTAAAGCCGTCTGTCATCAAGAATCCTCAGAGTTCATTGCCCTGGTAACCTCAGGTTGAATAAGCAGTCTAAGAATGTTTACAAAAATGTTTATTGACTTTGGGGGAATTCCGCACTGCTATTTTATGTATCAAATTATATACATAAACAACTAATACACCACTTATACCAGTTAAAATATTTTGGTTGAGATATTCACCAGTTAAGGTAATTAAGATATTTTTTTTTCAAATATTTGTCAAAACAAAGCATAAGTTTTCTCTTGGTCACAGGAAGTTTTCATTATGGGCACTGTGATAACTAATCCAAAGAAACAGGATATTTTTTTTTTAAAAAAATTTCACAATTTTTTCTAATTTTTCAAAGTGCTATAAAACAGTCCCAATAAATGGCAAGGACTGTTTGGGTGATAAGCCAATCAGGTAAATGGCTAATCAGGAACAACCTTGTAAGTGCTACATGGCCTTCTAACTTCCTCAAGTAAGGACTTCCCTAATTGGTTCACCACCAGTTAGTGATAAGCCAATCAGGTAAGCGGCTAATCAGGAACAACCTTGTAAGTCCTACATGGCCTTCTAACTTCCTCAAGTAAGGACTTCCCTAATTGGTTCACCACCAGTTAATTAATTAATAAATAAATAAACATCACTGTGACAGCACTACTTTAGTTCACACTAGTTATATAAACAAAGAATACAATGACACGTTTAGTACTTCCAGTCTGTCTATTCATAGCTTTATATTTATGCAGACATACATGTATGTAGTATTTTATTCCAGTCCACCCAACTAATTAAAATCTACTAGGGCTAATTAATGATATTTGTTCTGCAGTCCAGACAGCTTGAACACATCTACAATGTCTGATGTAGTAGCACAAGTAAACAATACCAATTCCATTCCTTTGCATTATTTATAAACCCGATAGTATCAAATGATATTACTACCAGCGCTGTACTGTTACACTGATAATTTTTTGCAAGATTTTTAAAATTTCAAGTTTTCAAATTTTGTAAGTCAAAATTTGATTTAAAATAATTATAGAAAATTGTCAACAAATTTTAGAAATGAATATTTCTTATAATTTGAGTAAAAAGAATCAATTTGATACTCTTCAATAAAAGAAATGTTTTCATCATTTAACTTCCTTTATCCTAACATGTCTAAAATTAAAAAAAAAATCTGCCTTAGTTGAGGTAATTTCCTGACAAATCTAATTATATCATTATCTCCTTTTTTTTTAAAGTTACATGGTCACATGATGTCATTAGATTACAGTACCTTCTCAATAAACATTCATTTCAGCTGATACTATATTATTGTTATATTTTATAAACAAGTGGTGAGTTTGAAAACATTTTAGTTTATAAAACACCACAACAAAATAACTTTATTCAGGAAAACATAAAAGTTAATTTTCATTTTTATAGAGACAAATATTGATGTTCTTCAAGTGCGTCAATTTAGGAAAGGGACTCACCTCAATTTGTTGTTTCTGGCTTCGGAGTATCATCACTTCGGCAGCTAGCGATCCAAGTACACCAATGATCTTTTCCTTGTGCCCCAGCCATTTCTTGAGACGTTTACATGCCTCTTCGAAGTCACCAAGGTTTCCGGAGGCATCGTCCAATTCCTGTTGGCGATCTGCAGCCTTTTTCTGCAACTCTTTGTATTTATCATCTGTGGAAGGCGGAGGGAGATAAATAAAAATTGTAATTACTGTCAGCAAGAGGGCACCAAGATAGAGAAAGGTTACCATGACAACAACATGGTTCTGTGATAGTCTTTCGGGAGGAGAGAGAAAGATGGCGATGAGAAATGGATGGAAACTTAGACTGCAACATACACAACAGCTGGAGGTCAAAGTTCATGTGTTATTTTTATGTGTAACTGTATCCTATGAGAATGCCTGTTATGTCTTCTGTGCTTGTTTAGTTCTAATCTATTTTATGAGAAACTGATCCCAAGGTTTCCCTCGGCAACCAGATTACTCCTCAAGTTACTTCTGAAATGTACAATTAATTTTATACCAATTAACTCCACAGGTAAATCTCCTACAAAAGTATCAAACTTTTAATTGCCACTTTCTCAACAATATCTGTCAATGTGTTTTTATATGAATTGTTTTAATTTTTACATCATAATTTTTATTATATACTGGTAATTTAATTAACATTTTATATTCCTTAAAGGAAGTAAAGAGAAGGAAAGACAAACCATTCAAAATTGTATATATAATCATTCCAAGAACCCATTCTGAGAAATTAAATTCAGCTAATTTAGGTTGGGTGAAACGATATTCAGACTGTCCTTGATGGAATTGCTGGCTACACTGGAATTAAATACTATTAATTACTATTAAATTCCTACAAGTGTAAGTAAATATGTGGATATGATATTTGGATACATTTGGTACATGCTGGGTTCATTTGGGTACATGCCCAGTGTAAGTAGATATGTGGATATGATATTTGGGTACATTTGGTACATGCTGGGTTCATTTGGGTACATGCCCGATGTAAAAATAAGTGGATATGATATTTGTATACATTTGGTACATGCTGGGTTCATTTGGGTATATGGTGGCTATATTTGGGTACATGTCCAGTGTAAGTAGATATGTGGATATGATATTTGGATACATTTGGTACATGCTGGGTTCATTTGGGTATATGTTGGCTATATTTGGGTACATGCCTGGTGCAATCAGATCAGATCAGTATATACACGATATATGAAATACCTGGATACAATTGGTACATGCTGGGTAATCAAATACATAATGGGTATACAAGGTATTTATGATTGGTAACAGAATACATGCAATATGGAAGCTTCAAACCCACATCATGCAAATAACTGACACTTATAATTGTGTTATCACAACATACCAAGAGGTTTATAATACAAGGAAGCCACATACAAAGTACCACATAGATTACGTGGTACAACAATATAGAAGCAAGACAACCTCAGTAATCAAATTATTCCCTGGCAAATTTGTGATCATCAGAAAACCAACATTTTGCACAGAACTTTGAGGATTTGGATGATAATGTATTCTCATTGTTTTAGTATCTTTTATGGAACCATATTTAAAAAAGATTTATATGCAAGAATGTAAAATACTTTATTTTAGCAGGAATTAATTTTCGCTAAAAAGACTTTTTTGGGGTTTTGTATGGAATTTATTTTCACTGATTTTTGACGAGTTGAATGTAAAATATAGGAAAAAAAGTATATTTGCTGGATTTTATTTTCACTGAATCATCCCTTCAGCAAAATAGCGAAAATAAAGTATTTACAATAATTTGAATATTAAATATCGCTCATTATACATATTACTGGAACTTTTCAATTCAAAATTAATTTTGTTTTGAATCAAAATGAGAATACTCTTTGACAGGAAGTGATATAAGAACTGAGGCAGTTCACAAAATTCATGCTTGGCAAATATTTATTGTTGACATGCAATGGACAACACTGAAATTATACAAGTAAAAATACACTGTTTACTTAGTCTGGAGGTTATAGTGAATAATCCAGGGTCACATGCAGGCAACTTATGTTTGAGAGAACACCAAGCAGCAATATTTCACAAGATTAACATGTTTGTACAACAAAGCAATCTTTTGAAACCTTGAACAAAATAACTCTCAATACTGTAAAATATTTTATTTCAGCTGGAATTAATTTTAGTTGATAAGCCTTTTTTGGTGTTATGTATGGAATTTATTTTCACTGATTTTTGAAAAGTTTAACGTAAAATATAAGACAAAAGGTATGTTTTCTGGATTTTATTTTCACTGAATCATTCCTTCAGCAAAAATAGCGAAAATTAATTCCAAGCGAAAATAAAGTATTCTACAGTATGTGTTTCTATTTTTTTTCCAAATAATTTAAATAAAAATTGAAGCCAGTAAGAAATTATGTAAATTTTATCCAAAAATATGAAACAAATTATAAAAAAATACTTATGCAACATTTTTTTTCAAAATGTTTAAAAAGGTTGAGGTGAAATTGAAGCATAAATTTGATGGAGGGCAGAGTTGGCTGCGGCTTCACTGCTGTTAAATTCAGTCGTTTCACATGAAAAATGAGACCTAATGAAATGAATGTCAACGATTGTTTAAAGTTCTCTTAAAGTCAATAAAATGTACAGAAGAATGTGAAAATTGCGGCACTGCAGTTATGGTGTTGGTATTTCACAGTATATCAATCGTCAGTACCGGTATTACAGGGAGGAAACAAATTACAACGTTTGCCGACAAAAAAGGAATCATTGGGTATCCCATATATCATTTGATAAATTATCGGTAAAATTGAGTCAGTATAAAATTATTAAGTTTATGATAAGCTAGAGTTAGTATTTACGCATTGTGTTCAAGTTGCTGTTAAGAGATTAAAATGTGATGCTGCATGTCAGTAAGGCGTGGAATTAAAATAAGGGTGGAAAATGACTGGTGAGGTCACATGAATAAGGTGAAAGGTCAAGTATGAAAGGTTAACGGCAGTTACGCAGTCTACCATGTGTGTGCGGAAGAGTTACAAAACATTTCTGGACAATGATTCAAAGCAAAAACACTGCTTTGTTTTTATTACCCAGTGTCACGCATGCAACCCAGTGGACATGCACAATAAAACACAAAACCCTATATATCATGAGATGCCCTGATAATGAAATAAACATACCAATACCGTATATACATGGATAATAAATACAGGTATGCAAATATAAAGCAAAGGAGAGGTATTCCAACCCACACCTTAAAAATTTTAAAATAAATAAACAGTTCATGAGGAGGGATACTTGAAAAATATGGCTGACCCACTTAAGCGGCACGCCCACCCAGTGCCACAAAATGTGACCAGCGTAAGAGATAGGAAATCACAGATACACCATTAGCAGTGGGACAAAGTTGAGCGACAAGCACCTATTAAAAAACACCTTCCCAAATGGTTTGAAAATTCCACCTGTTGTAAATGAGCCGTGCCTTGAATCGACGGACTCTCATGTAACGGGGGATTAACACTGTGTCCACTTGATTGCAACAATACATATAGACACACTACAACAACATTCCTAGGTAACATTCAAGGCAGCCTAATGGAACAGATTGGTAAATGTTTCTCTTTTGAAATTTATACGAGCCACCTGATTTAACCTTTTGTACACCAAATTTAAAAAAATAAATAAACCTAATCACATAAAAGAAATTAATTTTTGTTCCAAAATTTCAAGAAGTATAGCCAGAGGGAAATTAAAAAAAATACATAACAAATGTTCAAAAAATTTTGATATTTTGGTGCAAAAAATATGTTGTTCAAAAAGTTAATACTAATTTCTTTTCATTTCCAATTTGTATTTTATCATTTGAATAATGACTGCCTTGTTTGAATTCTATTCAACAGGTGGAATAATTTTCTAAAGCACCAAGGCAACACCGCTTCCCCATATATGTATGACATAAAAAATTATTAACGCATGCACAGAGTTTGTTGACCTTTATCCCACGTAAAAAATAATATTCAGCATGCAGAAAAAGAAAGTCACAATTGATCAGCTGCTGGGAAGAGCTCCAAATAATTTATAATAATTTTCAGACAAAAAAATACTCTTTTTAGAAGAAAAGAATTTTAAATTTATATTTTTTTTTATTTTTTGAAAAAATATTTAATGAATATCAAAATTTGAGCACAAATTTTATTTAAAAGTTTATTGCATAGAAAAGGAATGTTAAGAGCAAATAAAGAGAAAGAATGTAGGTAGGACGAGAGAAGAATAAAACCGATGTATTCATCTTGGTTCTGCGGAAGAGGAAGTTTGGGTTCAATCCACACCCAGGTTGACGACACATGTACACGTTTACTGAAGACAGGTGGTGAAAACATTGAATTGTCACACAGAGACAATAACAGAGCTACTAATAAAGACCCATCACCATAGTAGCTACAAACAATTTTGCAAGCAATTTAAAAAAAATATTTTTCATCATTGCTCAAAATTTTTAAAAAAAATTTGATTATTTTTGTGTTTTTATAATTTAAAGTTTAAGTCAAATAAATTAATATTATTACGAGCTCTTCCCTTCTTGAACTAAAAGCAAGTAGAAATTAAAGGTGAATACAGCTACTGCAGTTTGCTGGATGATAACCTTATGGGACAAAATACACTATTATCAACATTACGAGAAAGACATTCAAGTAAGCAAGTGTGTTGATTCTGATCAGCCCTGTGATATCATGTCACTATTAGAATTATTGGAGAAGAGTACTTTCAAACAAACTAATTGTGAAGTGTCTCCTGTATTATGATCCATTAATTTGTGTGTTAAATAATATTGTTATATTTTTATGGGGATAATTTAGATTTTTTTTTTATGTACTTTGTACCCATATGTTATCAACCACTTTTTGACAGTATCTGCATGAGTGGGGGTCACGCAAACCTTTCACAAGAGGACGGAGATCGGCAGAACATGACGCTTCTCCAGATAAATTGACAGCTTTCACAGTATACGTCCCAATATCATCCACGTTAGCATCATTTAAAATTAACGTATGCCCTCCTTGATTGTCCGCATAAAACACAAAGCGGTTATTGGTGAGAATTTCAACCCCATTTCTGTACCATGTCACTTCAGGTGTAGGGTCTCCAACAACTTTGCAATCAAACTGTGCAATATCTCCATTGCTTAACTCAGTATCTAGAATCTCAATAATAAATTGTGGGGCAACTCCTCCCCGTCTGCGTTTATCATTATCCGTTTCCGTGGTACCCGAATTGCGTTCATTTAACTCCAAGCACACAGGGTTACTTCGAAAATATTCCACGGTGACTTCTTCAATTGGAGACGTTGCTTGTTCTTCATCTAACTGTATTTCCATGCAAATACCCTTCATGATTAAAGGCATTTCAGTGAGGTCCACATCCAAGGGTTCCAACGTTAACTTCCCACAGCTGGAACGTTTCTGCTGGTTTTTGACACCAACAGATGCCTCTTTATTCTGAGGCTCAGTAGCAGAGGTCAAACATTGCTGCCTAGGGGGCACAGTTGATGTTTTAGAACGAGTTAAAGTGTCCGCCCATACTGAAGGCTCAAAAGCCAAATGTTCACGGTTAGGTATGCCATAAATCTCAGGTGAGCATTGGGACAAAACTTCTAAAATAAACAAAATTCTTGTTGAGAAAGGCTACAACGAATCAACACACTTGTATTATGGAGGGGGAAAAAATACAGAATATTTCCCAGCCTTCCATTCACCTATTTTTACAAAAAATTCCAAGGAGACAGAAGTAAGGAGCTTTACCGATAACAAATACCAAGACACAGAGGAAAAGGTGTGTCAGTGTGGTGTTAAAGTGCCACACACCATAAGTGAAGTGATGTGATAAGGTGTAGTAGGCATGCAATGCAACAAGTGAAACTGACAACCCAAGGTGAAATCAATATGCAATCTTCAGTTTGTCAAAGAAAAAAAGTAAACAAAATAATCAATGGGTTATGTAATATATAAACTGAAAAAAACAGCTGGTATTTTAAGAGATAATACTCCAGCCAGGAAGGACAATATGTTTATTTAGTCTCTCTCCACAAATATTGATTATTTCATACAGAAAAGTCTTTAGTTAAAGTCAGAATCAGAGGGTCTATGCCAAAATAAAAAAATAAAAAAATATTTTAATAAAGTAGTTTTGATACTACAGAATTCTACTTTTCAAGGGAGACGAAAAATAGGTTTTGCAGAATTCATGCAATTTGGGAAAAGTTGTGGAAGTTTTCTACTCTATAATTGATTGTAACTATTTATTGCTAAGACAGGTTTTACAGTGAAAAGAAATAGCATCCGTTACCTGTTTACTGCATGCTTCCTAAAATTCAAACCGACATTCACCGCCACAAAGACACCATCGTACAAAGTCAATATGACACATAATGCACCATTAAAATAACTCATGCCAAATTCACCCCCACATTCAAACCAAAGAGTTCACCATATTGTTAAACACACCATATCACATTCACACTGCCTCCATTTATGTATTTCAAATATTAAATGTTGTGTGTGAATTTGTAAATGCTTCTATTGAAAGTCAATTCCAGATTATATAAACAGCCAAAAATTAAAAAAACATTCACAGATATTTTTATCTCTATGAAAAATATTAAAAAATTCATGTTGTTGCTTTGATCTGAATTTAATAATACACTTTTTCAAAAAATAAATTGAGATTTGGGAAATATTCGTTGTTCTATCACCATGACACACAAGCAATTGACAAATATGGGAAGACAATAAGAGACAAATGAGCTTACCAAGTTCCTTGAGGTCTTTCTTGATCTCTTCAGCCCCTGGGGCATTTTCTTTATCTTTGAGCAGGTCTTCTCCAAGTGCCTTCATGTCATCAACTTTGCCAGATTTGGCATCCAAATCTTTTTGAAGTGCCTACAAATACGCAACAATTACAAATTATTATTTTCTTGATTTTAAATTTGTTCCAAAGATATAATTTTATTTTTCACAACCACAAAATACCTGACAAATTACGATTCAGAATAACACTGATAGAGTGAGTTTATCAGTGGCAACCAATCACAGTGTATGTTTCAAACAATTCAGCTAATCAGATTTAAGATTTTATTTTACCTTCTGTTGTTTGAGCTGTTTCTTGACATCGTCAGCAGAAGCTGCAACAGGTTCTTGACTGTCAATGTCTGCCTCCATTTTGTCCATCCAGCCCATTAACTCTTTCATTTCCTCCTTCAGATGGTCAGACTTCTTAAAGTTGCTGTCAAGTTCTTGTTGACGGTCCTTCAATTTCTCACCGAGGTCATCATAGCGATCATTGATTTGGTTCAGTTGCTTCTGTACTTCTGATGTTTCTGTGGAGGAAATAAACATTTAATGTTTAATTGTTGGCAAATGACAAACAAAGAGAATGTCATCAAAATTCAGATTGATTTTTAGTTTGGTGACAACAAATTTTTACCTTCAGTGGCAAATGGAGCGCTGTCAAGTTGATCTGATGCACGTCTTCCTAGTTTCTTCTCGGGACTACCTTGCTGAGCGGCTAATATGGCAGCTCGAGATCGTTTCCTTGGAGATGCAGTTGGAGAGGGAGCATCATCCTCCTGGTTGAGCTTGTTGATAGCATTGCCAAGGTCGTTGACTTCTTCAATCGTAGGGTGGTATTTACCATGATCATCGCTGATTGGCTGAAACAGAAAATTATTGTAAATATGTAAGTTGATACTATGAACCAAAACGATAAACGTCTTTCAACTTGTCACACTTCGGATCAATTACACCAACCTGGACCAAAAATTTCGACAAAGTATGGAATGGTTAAAGCAACAACAACCACCTTACCTTCAAGCCCTCGAGTTCTTGCTTCAATAATTCTACATCCACAGCAACAGGTTTCAACTCTTCAACCTTTTTCTCCATTCCATCCAACCAATCCAAGACAGCTTTAGTCGCGTCATTGTATTTCTCATAAGCAGCCTGCTTATCGTTCAGTTGTTTGTTCCTTTCATAAAAAGATAATATATATTATTCATGATTCATCTGATTTTTTATAGCTATACTTTTCTGCTTAAAAACATGTAAAAATATATTGTGTTCTTAAACTAATTTTTAAATTATGAGCCTTTTCACCATTTTCAAAATGGCCGCTGGAATTATGTGTCCTGTTGGGAAAATACAAAATAGCTGTTGAATATTGTACACTATGGGAAATTACAAAATGACCACTAGAATATTGTTCACTATGGGAATTATAATTGGCTACTGAAATATTGTACACTATGGGAAATTACAAAATGACCACTAGAATATTGTTCACCATGGGAATTATAATTGGCTACTGAAATATTGTACACTATGGGTAAATTACAAAATGGGCGCCACAGTTGGATTTTATCATCTAAACAATTAATTTTAAATATTTTTGAAAGTGTTTGAACATCCATGAAAGTCATTACAGAATGCCTCAACAAAGATTAATAATAGTTATAACACATTAAGAGATTTTTATTATTCTAAAGTCACTGCTTTTGTCATCTCCTTAGAATTCTCTTTCTACTTTCACTGCACAAGCAGTCAAAAGAAATCAACAAACAACAGTTAAGAATAATAAATTAATACATGTAGTAAAGATTCCATTGATGACAAATAATGTACCTTAAAATCAGAGATTTATTTTGAATGAGTGCTCAAAATATATTCTTACCTCTTATCTAATAGATCTTCTAGCGAGCTCCAGTTTTTGTTCAAATTATCTAAAACATCTTTTACTTGAGAGGTATCAGAGAGTTTAGGATCTTTTACCAGCTCCTCACCAAGCTTCTGGATATCAGTGTACTTTGGACGGTTTTCATCTAAGTTGGCAGAGATTTCCTGTAATGTGCAATAGTCAAAAAAACAGGTTATTAACCTCTTGAACTTTAATTGTCTATTACCTTGGTGCGTGCGGGTGTCAAAATTATACAATCGTTATTACCAGACAGGTCAGTATTGGCAAAGTGTAAATACTGTAATGAATTAATTCTGTTTCCACTTTGATAACCTTTGGGTATTTAAACTCAACACATCAGACACATATCTTCACTACCTATCAGCAGCATAATAGCAGTTCTCTGGTTACATATCAGCCACTGTTTCTACAACAACTACCTGTCACTGACTAGAACTTTTGACCTATATTAAATCCTACAAAAGGCTGTTCTCTTTTATCAAAAAAAGGGGACGTGCTGCACGCCCCCCGGGGTTAGCATACATGAGAGCAATTCCTAATGACGCATGTAGCTGGTTACGCTAATACTTTAGCATACCCGGACAAGAATTTTGAAAAAGATATTGAAAGATATGTGAACACCTGTATAAGAAACTCGTCTCAGATTTGTACATTCTTTATGCCTTGCAAGATACTTTAACCCAACAATTCCCAGACGGAGTTGTAAATGAAGAAATATACAACAGACGGATTAATTACATGGCAGAAAAAATCAAAATCATAAAACTAAGGGGTATTGGGTGATTGATTAGTTATGGTTGGATACTGCAACTGATTATGGTCAGTGTAATGATGCATGATGGGTAGGAAGTGAAATAAAATATATGATGTTATGGAACAGTGAATACATTGTAGTTTAGAATCATAGATATTCCTGCTGGAGGGAATTTGCTAGTGCAGTCACCACAATTAAAAATTAAATACCGACTGAATCATTCAAGAAAATGGCAACAGCTTACCAATAACTTGCTACCGAGAGCCAACAGCTCCATGGTAGCCAGATCTTTCGATTCCAATGTTTCAAGCGTCGGCAACACAAAGTCTTCCAGTTCATCAACCTTCTCCAAGAAATGATCCAGTTTTTCTTGGACACCTTGAAGGTAATTACCATGATCTTTGGTTTTATCAGAGACATCACCAAATCTTTTGTTGAGGTCATCAAGTTTGTCTTTGACCACCCTGGCGACCGACGGCTCACTGTCTTTGATCAACTCGCTAGCTGACTTATTAATGGCGTCAACGCTCGGTTTGTGGCTATCAAGATCAGATTGCAATACCTAAAAAACAGAAAAGACAAATAAAATAAATGGTCTAGGAATGTCATTGGGAATTTTTTTTTATTTTTGTTAAGTTTGGGAAAACCCAACACTCCACTGACTTTAAAAAAAAAAGTTTTTGACATTACAAAATATTTTATTGTTATTAGGAATTTCAATCATTTTTATAACCAGCAATTATCGACAAGAATACAGCCAACACTTAGTTGACCTTTAAACCTAAATTAAATAATTTCATAACACAAGTGTTTACATAAACCTTTATGACATTTTAAACAGCAAATAAGAAATGTGAAATTTACATGGTTGTAATAAAGGTGTTATCTATTTACCTATCTATAAACACTAAATCAACAATTTTGACAAGAGCTCAAAACTGGGTCACTATTTAAAAGGTCATACAAAGAGGATGGCGAGTGTATTTTTTTTTCTTTTTTCTTTTTTTTTATATATTTTGTTGCTGTTCCGATGGCTTAATAAATATTATTATTATTATTATACACAGAAAGGAGTCTCCACTGTCTCAAACTTTTGACTGATTAACATGTTTCTAAAACCTCGCATAACTAGATGATAACTCTCCCATGAACTAGTCTGAATGAAGTTACAAGTGTTCCTTCTACACTGTCCATTGGTGTGCATCGATTGCTCGTTTTGTAGAACCAGGATTGTTTTGCTAATTGTACCGTCTACTGATTTCCAGCCAAGCAGATTATAAAATACAAAAGGCTAAATACAAAAGACTTAAAATCGGATAGTTTGTCTTCAATAAACACACCACCAATTAACATGTACAAGTAATATTGTTGCTAATACTTTTATGTTACACACTAGAAATTTCACTCGTTTTCTGATTTAATTTTATTCGTAACCATTCCTTTCCATCTTTGTATTAAAGGTTAATAAAGATTAATGTGTTTATCTTTTATTCCTTTGCCATTCTGCAAAATTTCTTGACAATTTCTTGTAATAATTTTATGCAGTATTTAAAATTACTAATAGTTATAATCAACTATACATCTTTCTGCTTAAATCATTTAATGAACCAAATCTTCTTTATTAAAAGTATTCATTTTCACAAGTCAATGTTAATATTTTGACATTTTCAGCACATCAATTGAATTTTTACTTTTACAGACTTTTTAAGCAAACTATATAAGTTTATTAGGTGTAAACAGTTATAATGTAGACTGTTTATATGGATTTAAAATTTCCAGAATTCACTTATCAGCGAAAATAACTAAAAAATAGATAAATTCTGGTAACAAATTATTGTGTTTAAAATACCTTGATTTCGCTCTGTTTGTCCACCAATGAATCTTTTTTAGCGTCAATGGGCGATTCAGTGATCTTATCAAGTTTCTTTTCAGTGTCGTCCAACCATGTTAGTAAAGCCTCGATTCCATCTTGTACGCCCTGAGACTGCGTCAATGCAGTCTGTAGAGTGTTACTTCTATCCGTTGCCATGGCGATAAGATCTTTGTATTTCTCTTCAGTATCATCTAGGAAAGACCAAATTCAAATTTGTAGATTGCAATTATATTTCCCACCATGTTGGAGGTACCGGTAATAAGTTTGAAAAGCATTAAATAAGAAAAGTTTATTTTTGTTGTTCAAAGAAATACCAATCAGATTTTATTATTATTTTTGAATGATTTTTTTTTTCATTTTCTAATTGTGTACTGACCTGTTGTATTCTGTACTTCGTCTTTACGTTCTGGTTGACTCTCAATCAAATCTTTTCCAGTATCTTTTACTTTCTCAACGTCTTTGCCGTGTGTCGCTAAATCGCTCAGCATTGCCTTTATGAGACAAAAATAACAGTATATTTATATTTGCCCTCAAATAACATGATTTTCATGATGAAAACAATCAATTTATTGTCAGCACGTACCTTGACCTTGTCAACTTGCTTTTGAACCACCTTTGGCTCTGCACCGACTGGTTCTTCCAAAACCTTTTTCAACTCCTCCTCTGTCTGCTGCAACCATGGCAACACATTATCCAGAGCTTCTTGGTATTTCTTCCCCTTGTTGTCAATCGCCTTCAATTTGCTCACAAGGTCCTTGCAGTTGGTTTTCAGTTTCTTGTATCGTTCATTGATGTCGTTCACTCGGTTTTTAAGCAGGCTAGTCTCTGGTGCCTCAGTGAAATTTTTAGTGAAAGATTTCGGGATCTTGTTGGTTCGGAATTCTGACAGTTCACTCTTGTATTCCTGAAAAAATAAATATAAATCACTTTTAATAAAATTTCACCCATGTTTTACTGTAAGAATTTAACAACTGACTTGAGTCAAAAATAACCATTTTCATTTTATTTCCCACTTAATTCCTAATGCTTTTTGTCTTTGGTAGTAATGGCAAGTGCATGTGCAAACTAGTCTCACAAACTTAATATTGTGTGTTAGTTGGTTGGCAAGGCAGACTGTACTCTGATTTATTCTGCTGCATAAACAGTTGGATCCAAGAATCAAACACACAACCGCCTTGATGTGAGGTACAATGTACTGTAATCACCTAAATGAATCAAGTTTTAAATTTGTTTTTAATTTTTCAGTTGAGTATAATACTACTATAACTAGTTTAATTTCACGACAGTAGAATTTTCACAAATTTCAGGTAGAAGTTAAGAAGATCCGTAAGACAGCGAAATTTAGTTCTCACGAATTACAAAAATCCATTGTGACAAAAATGAACTTCAACGTTCACAAATTATAGGAGGCAGGATTTCTAAATTTTTTACCTTGCTGTTCTCCATGAACTTTTGACCTGACATATTGACAAATCGGAGCTCTGCTTTGTGAGAGATGATATCTTCTTCTACATCAACCAGGTTTTCTCGTTGGTCTTTAAGTTTGTCAGACTCTTTGGGAATGTTAGTCGAGAATTTTATCAACGCATCTTCTGTGGCTGCGAGCCATTCCTCAAACGGAACCACTTCATCGGTGAACTTTTCTAATTCATCCACGGCGGTGTTGAGTTTTTTGACTCTCATAGTGGATTGCGTTGTGAGAACTTCGTAGCGTGTCGTCAATTCATTGATGTTTACTTGTAGCCTGCTTTTGTCGTCTTCTGGTATTTTCTTTCCTTTAGTATCAATCAGTTTCTCTGCGTTTCTCACAGCTTGCTGAATTGGTTGTTGATGAGTGTTGACATCATCATATACATTCTTGAAGAAAAAAATTGAAATCAGTTTGTCAGGTAATCAATCAATCATACATATTTCACTCAATTTTTTAAAGGTCCAAATCCATTTTTGTCAAAATTAATATTTTTTCAAGACATGCAGCAAATGGGAAATGTCTATTTGGAAATGATCCAAAATATAAATACAACTTTGAAAAATGTTGGTGCAAAAGACATCTCAAAATAGACAGACTGACAGACAGACAGACTGACTGTGGCATAAGCTCCCGGGGAAAAAAAATTGCTTAAATAAAGTAATTCAAATTTTAACCTTAATTTTGAACAAATTTTGTTCTACAAAATAATTGCAACGAATTCTTTGACCACATAAATTTATCTAAAGTAAAAGGTGACACATGTAAATATAAACACGAAATGATAAATATGCTGGCATGGTATTAGTTAATTTATGGAATAAGGTTGCATGGAGGCATTAATATCATTTTAAATAACAAAGAACTTAAATTTGCAGAGCCCTTTGTTAGGCTTAGTCTTGTTACAGGGATGTATGGGGCTATTGTTAAATTAGTTTTGACAAAGAGAGCACCTGTTGTCATGACATAATAAGTGTTAAAATGCTAAATAACGATGAAATATTCATACAATATGTTGACAGCCAAGTGTAATTATATCTTTTGCTACATTTTTTTGAAGGAAGTAAAGAATTGCAAGTGGAAATATTTACTGGTTCTAACAACCTTGGATTTACTGGTTGTCATGGCAATTTAGCTCAATATCATAAAACGTAAATGAGACACTACCCAGCTGTGCATTTTATTTTATTTTATTTTATTTTAAATTTTCTTTTTTTATTACACCATTAAGGGAACATTTGAAATTAGCTGTTTTTTTAAAAAAAAAAAGTAAATAATTAAAAATAAGGGGAACAAAAATACTGACAGGAAACTGATACCCATGAATTAATTCATACCTTGTTTTCCTTCAGTTGGTCAGATAATGGTGTTATTTCCTCTAGCAACGGCTGCTGGAATCCAAGTCGTTTCTCTGTTGCTACAATCCACTCCAGCAAATCGTGAATCGCTGCGGCATCCTCGGCATACTTCTTTTGGACGGCATCCTAATACGATGAAAAATAAAATTAAAACAGTCAGCGTTGAAAGGACACACCCATGGCTGGGTGATGAACTATATCGGTCAAAATTTGTCCTACTCACGTAGCGTGATAAACTGAAACGGTTGTTGGCATTAGAAGCAGTAAAGACGCGTTCCTGATGGTGACAGTTATAATGGAGTCTGCCACAGACACAATATAATATTACAGCGTTTTGCACATGTCGCTTCTATACCACATACAGATTCCTAATTATATATGTGTAAATTTGCACATCTTTGAGTGTATCACGCTAATAACCGCCACTATATCGTTGGTACAATCGGCAACGTACAAACAGTTGAAATATTTGCATATTAATTATAATTTTTAAAAAAAGATAATGTCCACCCGGTTGTTGTAACACCGAAGTATGTACAATATGGAGGTAGCTAGATGACCCTTGACCTGTCTCATTAGCATAATGAGTCATCATAACATCAGCAGGCCACTTTAAATGTATTTGACAAATTATCGGAGAGCATGATGTAACATGTGGCTTCATAACAAAACGACAGATGTATCAATATTTAATATTCCGGTGCGGTCAAATATCGGCTACTTCAACATTATAATAAAATATCTGATTACAAAAAGAATTTATTTAAATTGAAATATAAATATCAAAACTATATCTCACAACAGCCTTAAAGCAAAATTTGTATAGACTTAATATTATGATGATGTAAATCTAAATCTAAAATAAATTACTATATTTATTAATTTCCAATATAATTTTTCAACAAGATTAGTTTAATTTGACAATTTCATTTGTATATTCTGTGAATGAATGGAATTAATTTTTAGCATCTTGTTTTGAAAATCAATACAGATGACAGTTTACCACTTGGCGATGATTTGAAACAAATACTGTATATACACACTGATACCATTAATTGCAAGAATGTTGAATATTTTTAGCAAATTAGCAGCTAAATATATATTACAAAAGATAATATTGCAATGAATATCACACTTCTCAGTTAATTAATTAAAATTTTAAAAATCAAATTCAAAGTTTAAAAAAAAAAAAAACATTTAGTGAACCACTAAAATTGTTGCGATTATGTATACATGAATACTCTCAGACATGATCGACTATTTATGTCACTATGGCAACCGATAATTCCATCCTGTTCTCCGTAATGTCACTTGTACCAAATATTCCCACAGGATAAACAATTCACTACAGAAACCAATCAGACTTGCCTTCATTAGGCCGCAAGCGCAAAAGGCCTTGTACTTTTTCATCTTGACCACGGCCGGCAGTCACGCAACATCCAATAAATCACTCCATCATCGCGTCCAGTCAGAAAAAACGTGAAACATTTAAACATCTCGCCTTCCCTAGTGAAGTGCCTAACGCGATCTAAAAATATCTATCCCGATGTGATGGAGTCACATCATTTTTTGTGACAAATATGCAGGTACGGACAAGAGGACAATCACACTGGCATCAATTCCCCCTCAATAATGATATTTAAATATAGATTCAAAGCTTAACATTGTTAATACAAAGCAGCTGACCTATGTGGGCATATTGCATGCATAATTATTCAGAAGCCCCAAAAAATTAACAGCTGTTGAAAAATCAAAAAATATCAGACAAATATTAAAATAATTACAACACAGATGGAACTAAATATTGCAGTAATATCAGTTAAATTATTTATATTTAGTTACATAATGTCATAATTATTAAATGTTTTTTAATTGCTTTTTCAGTGGCTAAAATTTGTTTACATAACTTATTTGCATAATTTATGTTAATTATTCATAGGGTAAAGGTCAAATACCCCTATCACCATTCCATCCATCAGCATTTATTGAACACATTGTTTGTAACATGTATTTGTCCTAATTGAATAACTACATTATATATAACCGGTATGCAAATTTTGTCAGGTGATTCATCTCAACTGATTTTATACTTATTTTTCAGTAACATTTAAATTATTATTTAGACTATGGTATGGATCCCTGAAACTCCATTTATGAATATAATTTTTTTTTAAATTTTGCTTACAAAAATAAATTATTTTAGTTCGAACTGATTTAAATACACCACACAATTCAGGTAAATTATCTAAAGAACTGTCCATGATTGTTTATAAAATGTCAGATTTTACTGAATTTATATTATTTTTTTTTAAATCAATAAATTCTAACTAAATTGTAAATAGGTCAACAGCTGGAATGACATACTTACAATGTTGTCTCCCTTTTTTGGGTAACGTTGATAAAATAGTGATTTAATACTAAGTACACATTATGTTTGTACATGCATTAAAGCTAGAATTAATTTATTTATTATAATTTTTCTTAACCAGTAACAAAATAGAATTCCATGTTTTTTTACTGATAATGAATTATAAACACAATATCTAAAATAATTTTAATTGACTCATCTTGTCACTACAAATACAATAATACTTTCACTCACCTTCTCAGCTTTTTCTTTTTCAAGCTGCGCAAGCGTTGATTGCAGATCTTTTAGCCTTTCCTTAGCCTTCGAAGATACATCATCAAAGCCATTTCTCAAATCATTGATTTTCTTCTGCAAGTCTTCTTTCTGATCGGCTGTTAATTTATCTTGGTTGTCTGTCAAGAACTGCTCAGCCGCTTTCAGGGCATCAGTAATCGGTTGCTTGTGCTCGGCAGTGTCATCAACGAGAGGCTGCAATATAAAGAAAAGGTACATTGAAATATCTAGACTCGATATCAAATTCGGCGTTGAGTCGTGAGAAATGCGCATGTGCGGCATATCGTTCTTGAAATTAAAAACATCTGTCGCTGCATGTGCACATGACCCTCATGATCAGTTCATTAATGAATCTAATAATTAATTAAAATTTAATTACAATATTAGGTTACGCAATAATCTAATGAATCAATGACAAAGTAGCATTTCACCAAAACGTGAAAATGGTGGTCAGAAAGAGCTGAGATGAGATGAGAAAAAAATAGGTTGCGACAAGAAAGGGACAAATATCACTCTTAATGGGATGATATTAATATATATCAAATGAAATAAATCTTATTTTCAATTGAATGATAATAAGCAGACCACCTGTCACACAATGCAGTATGTTTCAATCTTACACTTAACTGCCCATATTGAATGCCCCCAGCTGACCAGCAGAGATTTCAGACTAAACATCATTGTTGTAAATCAATGTCAAACACTGCATGAAATATTTTTCACACACAGGCAGACTCATCATGAATTATATGCGGTTGAATGCGATTTTCAGACAAAGTCGCAAATTATGTTTTCTGTTGGCAGGTCTGTCACATGTTAAAGTTGAAAATTACAGAAATTAAGACTTTTGTAAAGTTGGTTATTCAAACATCTTTGCCCACCACCTCAAATTTTTTTATTTTTTCAAATTTTTCAAATCTAAAAAATATCTAACATTAGGTGAATAAATCTTTCAAAGTCAAGTTTATTTTAAGAGGCGAAATATCTATATTTTGTTCCCAAATTTCATACGAGTATTCCCTGATATATACGTCTCAATAGTACACCATCCCAATTTTTATAAATGGGACACTGTCTGGAAAATCATGCACAATCACACATGCATGCAAAGCTTGTTTAGCAACTCTAATTATTTGTATGATGTGTTTCATGCTGATTTATTCATGACATTTATCATTTAGATAAACCTTCCATCTATCACAGTCAAACTTTAGTTACCAAACTCTAATTTGTTTACTGAGCTAAATCTGTTTGGATAATATACAAGTTTTGAGTTCCGCCATTACATTAGGTGCTTTTGTATAAAAATGTTCCAATTTTGTCTGCATGGGGAGGTTAATTTCACATTTCGTTGATTTTTTAATACTAGTAGTACAAGCCAAATAAAAATCTGAGATCTATGAAAACTGTTCACATGACGTTACTTACTGTATATTCACTTTTGATAATACGAACATAGTAAAATTTACCTTGTGTTCGTTCAATTGTTCGGTAACTGGTTCAAGTTCACTTGCGATTGGTTCTTGAGACTCCAGCCTCTCGCCCATATCTATTACCCAGTCGAGCAAGCCTTGTACGGCCCCAGTCTTGTCGTTGAGCTCTGATACCAAACCAAGACTTCCTTCCAATTCTTTCTGCCTATCATCCAATGCTTTGATCAGTTTATCGAAACGGTCGTTGACAGCCGTGACTTGCTTTGTCACGTCAGAAGGTTCTAGAAAACATCAAATACAAGTTTACTCAACAGTTCCTTGGTTACTATGTTACTTTTCACATTTTTATGTATTTTCTATACTTTTTTGTTTAATATTGTATCCCCCTTTTGTAAATGTGTGAGGTACCCTGACTGATATATATACAATCAAATGTTGAGATTTGCAAATATTCACATAGTTAGGGGGCTTTGTTTGTCTTTAAAGGTCAGTATACATTGTAAATATTTTTGTCGAAAGGATAAGGACCCTGTAGTACTCTTGAGAAATGAGAAAGTGAGGGCAGGATATTCACTTCTCATACCGGTATATTTTTCAGATAAAATAACATCATTTTATGTTCTTAGCTTGTTATAGGATGTTTTACATATTTGCAAAGTAAGAATCAATTTTTGGACCCAAAAATATAATTTTCCACTGACAGGTATGTTCAGTAAAATATGGAAATTTTTATGTAAAGCTTACCTTGTAAGAAATCACTTGGCACGCCTTGGTCAGACATCCTCCTGATTCTCTTTCGTTCTTCTGGTTTCTTAGCAACCTCTTCATCTTCTGGTGAGACAATTTCTGAGCTTCGCTTTGGTTTAGCTGCTTCCTTCTCTGCAGGTGTTAATACAACAGGTACTACAGCATTGAGTGCCTCCAGCTCAAGACCAAGTTCAGTGACATTCTCAATGTCTGGCCTCAAATCTTCTAGTTCATTTTTGATTGGCTGAAATGAAATAGGTTACATGGTCCATTAAAGTTGTATTTGCAAGTAAATTAGTAGAGACATACTTTTGAATTCCGTTCACAATTTCCACATTTTGATGTTTTCTTTTGTTCAAAATTACATAAAATTGATTCATGGGTATTCACTCCTAGTTTTTAATAATTGAGAAATCATAACAAAATGAAAATAAATCAGTTTTTTTTAAGTTGTTTTTTAATACCTGTTGTTCCTCAAGTTGTGATTTGAGTGTTTTGATGTCTTTAGCAACAGGCTCCAGATCACCAACACGGTCCTCTACAGCATCCAAGAAATCTGACGCTTCTCTGATAGCAGCAATAAACTTCTCATGTGCTTTCTGTCTTTCATCAAGTTGTTTATTTCTGTAATAAAATCACCCAATTAAGTTTTGGAGAGATGCACCAGATATAAGTTTAAATAATTAAATTTTTATTTTATTATAATGCATCAAATGTCAAGTTACGCTTGGACTGTATAGTTATCAAAAGTAAGCTGTGCTTGACAAAAACACGAACAGTTGGACGACAAGATGGAAAATGCACAGTTACTTACCTCTTGTTGATGCCATCTTGTAATGCCTGCCAGTTTTTATTTACATTCTCTACAACTTCAGAGACTTTAGAGGTGTCTGCAGCCTGGGGGTCAGTAATCAACTCACGGGATAGTTCTTTGATGTGGCTGAAAGTTGGTTTGTAGTCCTCGGTCTCACTAGCCACTTCCTATTGGTGGAAAAAAGTTTGAATATGTTCAGAGAAAAATTTACCATACACACAAGACAACAGTAAGCACAAGAGGAAGAATACTCAACAGCTTCTTTCCATAATACTCCCCTGCCTTACCACAACCTTTTTTGTCAACTTAAATAAAAGTTTTCATGATCTCCTGAATGAAATATCTGCTTTAATCTGAAAAGTTTATTTTTCCAGATCACATTTTGATTTGAGGGAGACTGAAGCCAAATTCTTGCCAAAATGTTAATAAACAAGTACATGTTATATTTAGTAGTGCTTTTACCAGAAGTTGGGTTCCAAGCTGAAGCAATTCCATCTTGTCCATCTCGTGGGAGTCCAGTGTTTCCAACGTTGGGATGAGCCAGTCTTCTAGATTGTCCACCTCATCTAAGAAGTCGTTCAATCGATCATGCAGACTCTGGAAATACTCTCCACACTCACTAACGGTGTCAGATGCTTTCCCGAATCGACTGTGCAAATCGTCCAACTTTTCTTGAACTGCGTGTGCGACAGAAGTATCACTGACGGTGATGAGTTTTGTTGCCGACATGTTTACTGTCTCAATGCTTGGTTTGTGACTTCCAAGTTCACTGTACAACAGCTGTGAAAAAAGATTATATTTCAAGAAATGAAATAATGATAGCGAGTAATAAGAAAATGAAAGCCACTTTTGAAACAGTTTGTCCTTCTAAACACCTGATGTTTCCTCACTGTAAACATTTTGCTTTTAACAGTATTTTTCATCAACACAGCAATATTGGATATGTTTGGTTCAACATTTAAAAGAAAAACAAAAATTTTATTTAAAGCTATCCATGAAGAAGTCGAAAATGTAAAACGTTGAAGCGGACGACAGGCAATCACTCATATGATAAGCTCTGCTCAATAAAGTCAACAGCGGAGATAAAAATGTTTCAAAAATTTCCCTAAAATAGTTGCGAGGAAATGACAAATGTCAACGTTACCTTTTGCTTTTGCATGATGTTTCTGAGTTCCTCCTTCTGTACAATCATTGGAGTATGGAATTCCAGATTGTCCACTTTGGGTTCAAACTCATCCAGCCAATTGAGAAGAGCATCCAATCCATCCTGGACACTCTGAGACTGTGTGAGGGCAGTCTGCAAGGCATTGTTTCTGTCCTTGGCTTGTGTCTCTAATTTGCTGTATTTATCACTCACTTCATCTGTGGGAAACCAGAAAAAAAACAAATACATGTCATGATGTCTAATCAGTTGTCTAAGATTGAGGAAATTAGAATCCCATGGATATAACCCAAGTTTAGAACTCCCGCTGACATTTGGAATTTAAAGTATCTCATAAAACAGCCTTGTATCAAATTCACATGCATGTTTTTAAAAGATAAAAATGCATGAAAAGGGTTCAACACTAAAGACATTCCTAGATAAAAATAAATATATAGAACATAAAGCACTTATGAAAAAAAAAGATTTTTCAAAATGGTGGTATGAGGGCGCTGTAATAATTAGTGACAGTTATATCAAATTAGTAGATCAAATAATATATCAAAAACATGCCAGAGATTATGACCACCATAAATATATATACAAACCAACTCACCAAGCATTTTCTCAACTTCTTCCTTCATTTCTGGTTGTGTCTCTATTATTTCTTTGCCATTAGATTTTAATTTTTCTACATCTCTATTGTGGCTGTTGATATCATCTTGAAGTGCCTGGGGAGACGAATAAAACATGATTAATTGTTGTAAATAATTACATTCAATTATTCCCTTCAAAATATCAACTGCAATTGATGAATTTGTCTACACTAATTCTGATACAGACTTCACAAACCTTGAGTTTATCAATCTGAGATTGGACAAGATCAGGTTCAGCACCAATCGACTCTTTCATCAATTTCGTCATTTCTGCGTCTGTTTTCTCCAACCACGGTAGCAGGTCATCCAGAGTGCCCTGATACTTCTGGTGCTTGTCCAGAAGATCCTTCAAGGTTTCAGTATGCTGTGTACCCTTGGCCTTCAGCTTGTTATACCTGTCGTTCATGTCAGTCAGTCTGTTCTTTGTGATGCTGGTTTCTGGAGTTTCCACAAAGTCTTTAGCTTGTTGCTTTGGTAGACTGGTGTTGCGGAAGTCAGCCAAGTCCTTCTTGAATTCCTGCAATACACCAAGTGAGTGAAATTTTTGTCATTATCACTTTTTTCTCAAAAATGATGCAATGATCTGATGCAAATTACATCTTTTTACTTACTTTGGCAGTTTCTATAAGGATCATCTCCATGACTACAACCTACAATATGCAAATCTTTTTACTTACCTTGGCGGTTTCTAAGAATTGATGACCAGACATATTGATAAACTTCAGATCGGCTTTGTGGTCGATGACTTCCTCTGTGAATGTCTTCAACTCTTTATTCTGGTCCTTCAAGACATCTCGGTCCTTCCCGACATCAGAAATAAGTTTATCCAGTGCCTTCTCACATTGAGTCAGCCATTCTGTGAAAGTCGACGACTCGACCTCAAACTTTTTGACTTCCTCGACTGACGTCTTCAGACGTTTAACTCTAGTTTCAGTTTGGATGATGAGCACGTCGTACCTAGTCTTCAGACCAGACACACATTCTTCTAGCTTGTTCTTCTGTGGTTCTTCAAGTTTGCTGCCCTCTGTAGCTAACAGGGTTTGAGCTGCCTGCAGAGTTACTATTACAGGTCGCTGGTGATCGGTAACATCATCTTGGATTGTCTGAAAAAAAAACACAATAAATTATTCAGATGAACTGTTGAAATCAAAAATAATAATTGATTTCCTTAAATGTTATTTTTTATTTGGAAAAACTTGATAACATTTTTAGGTGCAATCTATATCATATATAATATTGGTTCCCCATTAACTTTAATAACTAAGAAAAAGAATGAAAATTATGTACAAAAAAGTTATAAAGTACATCATAGACTAACCTTGTTCTTATCGAGTTGTTCTGTTAATTGTTTGGGTATTTCTTTCATTGGTTGTTGCTCTCCAAGTTTGGTTTCAGTCTCCGTCACCCACTGCAGCATGTCTTGAATTGTTGAGTTCTGTTCTGTGAACTTTTCATCCAATGCGGCCTGAAAACAATACAAAAGTAGAAACTTGAAATGAGTGGGTGAAGAATTTTAAATAATATACTGTTATATTCTTTCAAGTTCAACAATTCCCCCCACAAACATTTATACATTTTCTCCAGCTTTTGTTTTCCTGTTTCCCAGCAACCATTCATTCATCCTCGTTTCACTTTAAATAATAAAGAATATAACCAAAACTCACTTTCTCAGCTTCCTCTTTCTGCAGCCTATCAAGTGTCTCTTGCAGTTGTTTCAACCTGTCATGTGACCTGTCACTGACATCATCATATCCATCTTTTACATCATCTATTAGTTTCTGCAAGTCTGCAATTTCTTCTGGTTTCAGTTTGTCTTTGTTTTCTTTCAAGAACTCTTCAGCTGACTTGGTGGACTCGGCCACTGGAGACTTGTGATCAGTGATGTCATCAGCAAGTTTCTGTGTGATAGTAAGGGGAAATCAGAGTTTAGATGTAATGCTGCCCTCTACATTCAAAATGTAGAAATACTGATGAGGGCGCTATAGCAAATCAATGACTTTCTCAGAAATACATTTATAATACAGGATAGATATCAATTTTATGATGTGCACAGTTCCAAATGAAAAAATTTGAATTTCTAAATAATATTCTTGGAGACAGAGCCATGTCACTGAATGTTCTATGTTGCTAAGACGCACACCACTGTCAACGTATTTCTATGGGCTCTGTGGAACGCTAACAAGGAGCCGATGAAAACAGCTAAAGTGAAGAAAACAACACAAATTCAACTGTGAGAAAACCAAAAAAACCAGGGGTAATCTTGTTATACTGTTTAGGACAGTCTCAATAACCATCCCAAAGTACCACTTTTAGAGAGCTTTCAAACGTTGCTTTCACTAGACATATATAAAGTAAGAAAATGACTGCACCAAAATGTGGCCGAGAAAAATTATGCCAATCAAAGGTTTAGGAACACAATCCTCCAAGAAAAGGTGACGATGAAAACAATGACAGATATAAACTTTTTTTTTTTGCATTTTGAGAAAGTTAAAAACTATTTTATTACCTTTTGATCATCAAGCTGTGCAGTAACTGGGGAGACGTCCTGACTCACAGGTGATTGTGATCGCAGTTGCTCTTTGACCTCTTCAACCCATTCCAGTATCGGCTGTAATTTATCAGTCTTATCGGTCAATCCCTTCATGAGATCTCGTGTCTTGGCCAACTCATTCTGTCGGTCTGCTAACTTATCAGCTAAGGTACTGTAACGTCCAACGACATCATTTGTCTTTTTCTGAGATTCTGATGGTCCTGAAAACAAGTATAAAACAGTGCAGGTTTTACCGTTAATTTAATTATATTAAAAGTTTCACAAGAAGAGTTGTACCCAAATACCCAAACATTTTCTTTGAAAATAAAAACATTCAAAATAACACTTGTATGCCCCCACCTTTATAATACTGCCAACTCCAGGCAATTTCTAGAATATTAACTCTTGGATTGAATGAATTCTCTCAAGTTTGACATATAACTTACAACATAAGCATAGTATGGATGTACATTGTTTCAGTGGACCACTCCCATAATATGGGCAAGGTTCATTGCAAAACACAATATTTTTCACAAAAACGCTTACCAGTGAGAAGGTCACTTGGTACAACCCGATCAGACAGTCGTCTACCAGCTGGGTGTTTCTTTTCTGATGGTTTTTCAGGTCCAATATCTCTCGACCTCAGTCGTTCTGGAACAGCCTTCATCTCTTCATCTGGCTTGGTGAGGGCATCAAGAGCTTTACAAAGTTCCTGGACTTCATCAACTTTGGGTTTGAGGTCATCAATGTCTTTCTGGATGGGCTGTGAGCACGAAAAATGAATCATCAATAAATAACAACACATGTATAATTATATTTTAAATTAAATAAAATAAATAATTTAGTATTTTTTACAACTAAGTAACTATTAATAAATTGGTGCCAATATAATAAGAAACATTTATTGTTTTGGGCAACATTGTCAAGATACAATTGCAATGAAACAATATTATGCAAATTAAGCTAATTAATATACATACATTCTGGGGAAAACAAGGGACAACCTATTTCATGCACTCACCATTTGCTCATCAATCTGGTCATCTAGTTTCTTCACATCTCTGGTGACAGGCTTCAAATGATCCACCTTGTGTTCAATCTTATCTAACTCATCGCCAGTGGCTTTAACACACTTGCTGAACTCTGCATGGGCGTCTTCACGTTCGCCAAGCTGCTGGTTTCGTTTCTTCAGAGCATCCTCAAGATCCTTCCAATTCTTTTTGACATTCTTAACCACAGCCTCCACTTGACTCTTGTCCTTGGATTTGGGATCTTTGAGTAGTTCCTCGGCGAGTTTTTCAACATTCTCGAAGATTGGTTCATTCTCATCTTTCTGGTTGCCAAATTGCTGCAATAATAATAAAGTGATAACAAGTTGATGAAAGTTAAATTCACTGCTCGTTAGTTGTTAAATACAAACATTGTTTGATACAGCCCGACCGATCGACCGACCCACTCCCACAATAAATACATTTGACTTTTTAGCATATACGTCATAACTAGTCATGACAGTTCAGAGGTCATCGACGAACTAATCTGAATATTTACCAGTAAAGTGGCTCCCATCTCAACCAGCTCCATACGATCCATATCAGGTGAATCTAGCGTTTCCAGCACAGGGATCATCCAATCATCCAGCTTATCAACTTGTTCCAAGAAATCTATCAGTTTATCAGTCACATCTTGCAAATAACCACCCTTATCTTTAGCAGCGTCGGCAGCTTTCGTGTATCTTTTATTCAAATCATCAAGTTTGTCCTGCACGATTTTACCGACTGATGGTTCACTGTCTTTGATGAGTTTGTCTGCTGAAGTGTTAACCGAGTCCACGCTGGGTTTATGATTGTCGATGTCCGTAATTACAACCTGCAGGAAATAAATATGATTTATTAGAAACAAATATTCGTAAGTTTAGAATGGTGTAGGTCATCAAAATAAGGTCTAATTTCTAAAAATAATAATTTAAAATCACAGCATGATTGAACTTTTTACTATACAGATCACATAGTAACATAGTTAAGCTCCTTATGTACACATGTACAAGTACCAATCTCTCAATATTGGCTAAATTGCATTTAGTGATAAAATACTGTAAATCGATTTATTTTCGCAAATTCCGTGAAATAGCGAAAATCACGAAATTGTGTAGTAGTGAAGGTGTCCCACAACATAGAGTGTACGTGACTTTTGCAAAATTTTATTCTCACAAACAATAAATAATCCACAATAAACGGTTTATAGTATACAAAATCAAAACCGATTTGTACCTTCACGTCTTGTAACTGTCCGTGTAATACCTCTTTGTCAACGTCCACATCCTTGGCATTGATTTTCTCAATTTTGGGTTCGACTTCATCCAGCCAAGACAGCAGGCCGTCTAAACCATCTTGTACACCCTGGGACTGTGTGAGGGCAGTCTGCAAAGCATTGTTCCTCTCAGACAATTTATCCTTCAGGTTATTGTACTTGCCAACAGCATCACCTAAATCAGATATAATGACTTTTTAGAATTGCATGACATGGAGTATTAGTAAAAAGTGTGAGACTAAAGTGAAAGGTTTGAAATTTTACAATTCAAATTCCCACCATTTTGTCGGTTGGAACAAAAATCATTATGAATTTAGATTCTCACCAAAGAAGCGGTGAGAATTTAGATTTTTGCCAATTGATAACTAAGAATAAAAATTCTCACTCATGTCAATAATATCAAGTCTTGCTAAACTGTGAGAATGTGTTTCAATCTAGTCTCACACTTTTGACTTGCACTAATAAAGAATCATGGATTCATCTATTTTTTCAAGTATAAATAAAACAACAGAAGCTATTTTTAAAAACTTACCAACAGTCTTATCAGTTTGGGGTTTAAGCTCTGGTTGTGTTTCGCCAAGATCTTTCCCGGTTTCTTTGAGTTTGTCAATGTTCTTTGCTTGAGACACTGTCTCTTCAGTCACAGGCTGGAGAAAAAAAAAATATCGTAAATATGGATTGCTGAAAATCATGTCTCTCTCTTCTTCACAAGAATTTTTTTTTTTTTGTGCTGTCATTGTTATTGTCATCATCAACTTAGTAAAGTCAACTCTACCTTCAGTTTCTCAATTTGCTCTTTTACAACATCAGGTTCTGCTCCAACTGGTTGTTCCAGTTGCTCAGCAACAACAGCTTCAGCCTCCAGTAACCACGGCAATAGGGAATCTAACTCATCCTTGTAGTTCTTGTGTTTTTCTTTCAGTTCTTTCATCTTCTGTTCATGTTGGACACCTTGTGCCTTGAGTTTGTCATATCGGTCACTCAAACTGACCAGCCTGTTTTTGATAATGCTTGACTCTGGTGTCTCATGGAAGTCTTTGTTGAATTGAGCTGGGAGTGCGTCAGTACGGAAGTCAGCAAGCAAAACTTTGTATTCCTGCAATAAAAGTCATATGTTTTGATGAAATAAAATCTTTGTTTTTAAAAATATTTACTTTTCATACTCCACAGGTATGCAATATACAGAACATTGGCATATTAGTATTAAATTTGTTTTTTCAATGAAAAGATTTTAATTCTAACTAATTTCTGATATCTTAATATTTACAAGGTCATTAATTCATAAATCTTTGAGAAAAGGATGGAAGGGTAAACTTTTTTCTTCCAGTAAAAATTACCTTCGCATGTTCCAAGAATTTCAGACCAGACATGGAGATGAATTTCAGCTCTGGTTTGTGTTCGGCAACATCCTCATTAAAAGTCTTCATCTGGTCGGTTTGTTTTCGCACTGTGGGGTTATCTTTGCCAACATCCTTCATCAGTGCATGCAAGGTCTGCTCAGATCGAGACAACCATGTCTCAAAGGTAACATACTCATGTTCAAATTTCTGCAGCTCATCCACCGACGAGTCCAGTTGCTTGACTCTTGATTCTGATTGGTTATTGATTTTATCATAGCGTTTATGTACATCCTTAATTGTACTGTCCAGTTTGGTTTTCTCGTCTGGTGACAGTTTATCTGCATGTGTCACCAACAAAACTTGAGCACTCTGAGTTGATATCACAAGGGGCTGTTGGTGGGCGAGTACATCATCGCGAATCGTCTGAAAAAATTTTTTTAAAAATTTAAAAAAAAAATGACAAACATAGTAAAACTTTATTTTGCAAAAATGATAAAAACATAGAATATCATTATCAGAAACCCAAAACAAATGAACAGCTTATGCAACAAATCATACAGACATCCATTCACAATTTACCTCATACTCATTTACAAATTACCCAACATGCATGCTTACCTTATTCTCAACATCCTGTTCCTTCAACGGTTTAAGATCTTCAGATGCTGGTTGCTGAGAACCAAGTTTCTCTTCTGTTTTCTGAATCCAATCTAGTATATCTTGCACAGCGGTGATCTGTTCTGTGTATTTCTGTTCCATTGCAGCCTGAATATCACACAAAAAAAACATAGTGAATTTAAAACAGCTTTGCCCATTCTATGAATTACTTTCACTCCTGCTAGGAAGCACAGTTCAATTGACAGGCATTTGATTACTCCAGCACACTCTCACAGCTATTTTAACATATAGTACTAGTATACTCATAAATTGTTTTACAGTAAAAAATTTCGCAACATGATGAAGGGAATTATCTGAAAAATTAACTGGTTGATGAAATACATCCATCAATTCTATCTTGTTTTCATCATGCGTTCTCAAAGAAATTTCACCAAATTCTCTGCATTACCTTCTCTGCCTGATCTTTTTCCAGATAATCGAGTGTCTGCTGCAGATGTCGCATTCTTTCGAGTGATTTCGCACTCACATCATCATATTTATCCTTCAAATCATCTTTCATTTTCTCAACTTCAGCCTGTTGCTCTGGTGTCAGTTTATCTTTGTTGTCTCTCAGGAACTGCTCAGCATCTTTAAGAACATCACTGAGAGGAGATTTATGTGTCTGTATGTCCTCCTGAATGTCCTGTAGAAACAGAAATCAAACCATGTTTAGAAATTTCAAAATTATACTGATACTTTTTGAAAATTATTATGATCAAGGTCAAAGAGCAGTTTCTTGCAAAAAAAAACGATTGATTAAAAAAATGATGTAAATAAGCTTTGTAAATAATAAATATGCATACTACACAGATTCACAAATTCACAGATTTAACTAGTCTATAAAAAGCTAATTATTAAACACAATTTAAGACCTACCTTCTGATCAACAAGCTGTTCTTTGAGTGGTTCTATTTTATTTCTTTTAATTGGTTCTTGTGATGTCAGTTTCTCGTCTACCTTGTCTACCCAGTCTATCAATGGTTTCAGCTTCTCCTCTGTGTCTGTAATTGCCTTCACAGTCTCCAGTGTGTCTTCCAACTCTTTTTGTCGATCAGCCAACTTATCACTGATGTCACCATAGCGACCACTGACTTCGTCACTTTTTCTTTGAACAAGCGATGGGCCTGAAAGTTCAGAAGAGATAAATAAATCAGTATGTGCAGAGAAAAATAAATCCGTATGTGCAGAGAAAAATATAAAATAATTTGTGATTATTCAATGAGACAATATTAAACGCCATTAATTTTAGAGTCAAGTTCTCACCCATAATGCATTGCATCATTTGATGCAAATTCATGCGCCAAACACTGTAAAAAATGTTATTTCACTTACCAGTAAAAATATCTGATGGTATCATCTGGTCTGATGACTTCCGGACATGTCCTGGTTTCCTCGTTGGTTTGTCACTAGGAATTTGGGCTACTTGGGATGATCTCCTGTGTGGTACAGCAGCAACAACCTCACCAGTTGGTTTTGTCAATGCCTCCACGTTATCACCAAGACGCACAACATCCTCGATCTTGGGTTGGAAACTTGCAACTTCTCTTTGGAGTGGCTGCAAAATAAGAATGGTGAAAATGAATTACAGTTGCCATATTTGATAATAAAGTAAATATTCTTATTATAGTTTCCATATTTGGCTCTGTGGATAATAAACATATTAATTAACCTTTTCACCAACAGATAAATCTTTTTGGATTTTTATTTTATATTCATCAATATTTCTGGAAATAAACCTTAATTTTGGAGCCAACAGACAAAATTTTAGTTAAATTTTCAGTTTTTACCCCAACAAATTGGCTATTTGTCCCAATGAAAAGAAGAAACTGGTGATGGTGGTTTGTTCACAAATTTACATAAATGACACACTCCCAACTATCACTACTGTGATGGAGTAAAACATTCCATTGCATAATAAACATGCATTGTTTTGTTTTTAATGAAATTATATATATCATTCTCTACCTTCTGTTGTTCTATCTGAACTTGTAAGTTGATAATGTCTTTGGCAATTGGTTCTAATTCATCAAGCTTGCCATCCATGTTGTCCAGCCAGTCTTTAGCAATGTCAAACGCAATGCCGAATTTTTCGTGAGCTCGTTGTCTATCAGCAAGTTGTTGATTTCTAATTTAAACAAAAAAATGATTAATAACTTCAATGGTTGAATCATTTCAAATTATATATGACACAACAAATATTGAATAACAAATAATAATGAAAAGATTATAAAAAGACAATTATATCTCACCGTTTGTGAAGTAGATCTCCGACTGCACGCCAGTTCTTCTCCACATTGCCCAATCCATCCGAGATAAGTTTGTTATCTTGAGCTTTTGGATCTTTCATGAGATCTGAGCCGAGCTTTGTGACTTCGTCATAGGCTGGTTTATGTTCATCAACTTGACGTCCAAGATCCTGTAAATAACAAACTCATTAGTTTTGTTTTCAGTACTTGTCCTCTAGTGTTGGAATGTCTCATCACATACAAATAGATGTTACATATCATTGATACAGACAGGTACTGGACTCTTGCCATCTTGTTGATGGCATAATAAGTACTGAACTGTATAATAAACATTAGATTCACTCACCAGCAACTTGCTCCCTAATTCCAGTAATTCCATCCTGTCCAGAGAAGGAGATTCTAGTGTTTCCAGAGTGGGTAGCAACCAATCTTCCAGGTCGTCTAACTCCTTGAGGAATTCATTCAATTTGTCCTGCAGCTCTTGGAGATAGTCTCCACGTTCTTTGACAGCAGAGTCAAGTTTATTGTATCTCTTGTTCATATTATCAATTTTGGCTTTCACGACACTGGCTTTTGAGGGCTCTGTCTCCGAAATCAGTTTTTCTGCATTTTCATTAACGGAATCCACATTTGGTTTATGGTTGTTAATATCTGACGACACATTCTATTAAGAAAGATATTGAAAATTAATTAATTCATTCAATTTTTTCATTCGAAGCAAATTACTGGCTTAATTTCACTGAAAATACATCTTGGCTGTTTTTATGAAGTTTATTTTCATTAATTTTTGATGAGTTTAATGTAAATTAACGGGAAAAAAAAAGTATTTTCACTGGATTTTATTTTCACTGACTCATCTCTCTAGCAAAAATAAATTTCATGAAAAAATAAAATACTTTTTTTGGTACTTTGACCTAAAAAATATGACCCAATGTCCATTAAAGACTAGAACATTTACCTTTGCTTCTTGTAGTTGCTCAGCAAGTGGCTCCTTCTTTGTGACAATAGGGGTGTTAACAATTCTCTCAACTTTAACTTCAACGTCTTCAATCCACCTAAGCAGTGTGTCCAAGCCTTCCTGGACAGTCTGAGACTGAGCCAAGGCGGCTTGTAAAGTAGTTGTTCTACTCGTGACCTGACTGTCCAACTCTCCGTATTTGTCAAGCACGAAGCCTACAAACAAACAAATTGATTCAGTGTTATCTATGGTATATTACATAATTCTTACACAAACTGAAATGCTGTAATTTTTTTAAAATTGTAGTGGTCATTTGAATTTTGTACTGCATGTCTCATCAGACCCATAATGATGTCACCAACAACTGTCTTTTGACACTAGTATTATTAGAGAATTAGAGCAATGCAAAAAGAATGAATGACATCAGAATTTAAATTATTACTGCACCATCATTAACTACGATGTTCGGTTCAGACCAAAAAATGGTAATTAAATGCTTTTACTTCAACAAAAACAACAATAAAAGAAAGTAATAGTTCATTTTCTCTCATACCACTTTGTTCAAACTTTGTTCTAATTTTTTTTTGATAATTTAAAGATTTTAAAGAGAACTCACCAAGTGTCTGGTCAACATCTGGTTTCAGCTCTGTCTGTGTGTCTGCAAGCTCCTTGGCAGCTTCCTTCAACTTCTCAACATTCTTCGCCTGCGCAGTGATGTCATCATGAAGTATCTAAATATGGTAATTTTAAAATAATCAGAATGATGGAAGATACAAATCAATGTACGTCATAGTAACAACAGTTGGCATGGTTACAAATTGGGTATCCAAAATGAAAAGTGTTAAGGTAGGTGTCTGCTATTAAAACACATCGCCAAATGTTTTTTACTATATGGCTTTATTTTATGCTGTTGTTCACAAAATAAAGTAACAATGAACTTTTCATGCAAACATTTTTGAGTTATTTACCATTGGTTGCTATGGTAAAAATTTTGTTTGGGTATATATGAAAAAATCACGTCGTTATATGATAGGTACTTATTATTGGGGAATTCTGACAAATACTGTTTATTTGTTATGTACCCTATGCAGATATTAAAAAAAGAAAAATTCCATGTTTTAAAAAAAATATTTAATACCGGAGAAAAAAATCAATAATTATTACGCCTTTGAAACAAAAAACGTAATAATTTTGTTCTTCTTCTTTAAATTTTACCACATTCACGGAATGAAGATATGATACCATAATTGTAGGTTAATCAATTTGCCAATAGAGGGCGCTGTATATCCAACCCCTTGTGCCA